TGAACATAATAGGATTAGACTGATTGACAGTCCTAATAAATTGCCAATATAACACTTAAAAATCTCACATCTGGATCCAAACTCGTCATTTCATACTTTCTAAAAAATAAAAAATAAAAAAAAAATTGACAATTAAAAAGGAGTATAACAACATTTATTATATATACCTATTTGTCTGTTTGATTTCAATCTTTATGGTTGCTAGTTGGCTAAAAACTTTCCATGTCTTTATCCAAACTATCAACTAACATCATGCGCACACAAAATGAGTCGAATTATGACCCTGAAAATCACTCCATATTTTCTCCATACTTAGTTCCTTTTCGTTCTGGAAATAGCTTTCATACTCCCGTAAATTTTGTTCGTTCAAATACTGAGACTATCACTGATCAGATTAACAACACTAGAATTCAACATACTGCCTTTTATACAGAAACTGGTTTGGTTCGTCCTGTCAATCTCACTAACAATAGATCATTTATTCACCATCAAACTAACTATGCTCCAATTACGGCTGGTGAAAATCAGCAAATAACAAATCCATCTCGATCTGGAATTCTTGATGAACGAAAATTCAGTTATCGTTGTACAAATTTTGAAAATCTGTCAACTAATGATGAACGTAATCGTACCCGTTTAAACGGGAATGATCAAAGAATTGATATTTATCCAAAGCCATCTTTACCTGAGCAATCCATATTCATTCATAATAAAGAAATAAGAAAAAAGTCTCCATCAAGAAAGGCTCGTTCGTCTTCGGATCCTCCTCTAAAAAGTATCCGACATTCTCGCTCTGATATTAATCTTTCATACGACAGTCGATCAAGTACCATCCAACATCCCTCTCCAGTTAGATCCTTAACAATGGTAAAAAGTAATCAAAAATTAGAACAATTAAATATCAATACTTCTCAAACTACTTGGGATCCTATTCATGACAAGAGCGTTTCTTGTGATTATCAATTCGATAATCAATTCGATAAGGATTTAAATTCTCCAAAATTCAATTTAAATTCCAGTACAAATTCTAATTCTCCAACTTTAAATGATTCAAGTCAAGGCTCAATGCAAGATCCTCAAAATTTTTTACCTCATAAATCTAATTATTCAAGATATTCTGATCTTAAACCTCATACCGATTTTTTGACTTTTAGTACTTCTGAAAACAATTCTTATGATCATATTTCAAATTATTCTACCACCAACGGTTTCGATAATCGTTCAAACAGAGGTGAACCTGATCATAATATTGATAATGATGTTTCAAGACAACAACAAAATCGTCTTACTTTATTAACTCCTATAAAAAAAAAGAAATTTGGTATATTTAAAAGATCTAAAAAATCTTTACCCGCTTACTTAAAAGCTATTAATGCCTTAGAAGAAATGCAATTCAATGAAGCTATAAATTTATTTACTCTGGTTTTGGAGAAATATCCTCAAAGTTATTCCGTTAGATGTGATCGTGCTTATGCTTCATATCAAATTGAAGATTGGGATAGAGCAATGGATGATTTAAATCATGCTATCGCAAAAAAACCAAAGAAATCTCGTGCTTATTCACTTAGAGGTGAAGTATATCGCCTTATTTCTATGTATGAAAAATCTTTAATCGATTTAAATAAGTCTCTTAAATTACAAAAGAGTGTATTTGCTTTAAGATCTCGTGCTGAAGTTTATGTCGTAATTCGTCAATATGATGATGCTCTAATTGATTTAATCGCTGCTTTAGAGATTAAACCAAATAATGTTTTTACCTTAATACGTAGAGCGAAAGTTTATTTTTTACTTGGTCAATATAATAAGGCTTTGACCGATTTAAATTATGCCTTCGATTTAGATCAAAGTAATGCCACAACCGCTTCAACATTATCACATCGTGGTGAAATTTATCGAATAATGGGACGTAATGATTTGGCTCTTGTGGATTTAAACGCTTCATTACAATTTGATGAGAATATTTTAACATTAGAACGAAGGGGTAATGTTTATATCGCTTTGGGAAAAGATAGTGATGCAATGGATGATTTTGAAAGGATCTTACAATTTAATTCTCAGCATTTTTCGGCTCATAAAAACATTGCTACTCTTTTACTTAAATCTAAACTTTATGAAAAAGCTCTTAAACATTTAGATCTTGCTTTACAATTAAAATCTGATGATTTATTTTTATTAAAAACTAGAGGTACTATTTATCAAAGAATTGGACGTTATAATGATGCCATAAATGATTATAGTTTTGCTCTATGCATTTATCCTAATAGTGTGGATTTATTTAAAAGTCGTGGTGAATGTTATAGATTAATTCAAGATTTTGATAAATCTATAAAAGATTTTACAAGAGTTTTGGAATTAGATCCTAAAAATGTTTTTGCCTTGACTAGACGTGGTGAAGTTTATCGAATGTTAAGAAAAGGTACGAAAGCATTAAGAGATTTGGATGAAGCTATAAGAATTGAACCGGATAATGTAATGGCACGAGAAAGTCGTGGTGCAATGAATAGAACGTTGAGACGATTTGAGGAAGCTTTACGAGATCTTGATGAAGCAATATATCTAAATCCAAATAGTGTATTTGCTCTTAGCAATCGTGGTGCTGTTTTTTACATGTTAAGACGATGTAATGAAGCATTAATCGATTTGAAGAAAGCTCTAAATATTGATCCAAAATATGCATTCGCACTAGAGACTAGAGGTGCTTTGTATAACTTTTTAGAAAGATATGAAGAAGCATTAGAGGATTTGAATAAAGTATTGGAATTGGATCCAAAGAATACTTGGGCATTGACTTACCGAGGAGAATCATTGATTGGATTAAAAAGAGAAAAGGATGCACTTGAAGATTTGAACAAGGTACTAAAAAAATTACCAAATTGGGAATACCCATTATCATTACGTGGTGCTGTTTATCGAGCTTTGAACATGAATGCGAAAGCATTGTTAGATTTGGAACACGCATTAAGCCATACAAAAGACAAAGCGTTTAATATTGATTATGAGACAAAAGCTTTGTGTAATCGAGGATCTGTTCTATCTAAATTGGGAAATTATGATGAGGCATTGGCTGATTTGAATAAAGTGTTAACAAGAGATCCAAATAATGTATTTGCATTAAATGAACGAAGTGCAGTGTATGAGGCCTTAGGAAAGAAAGATAAAGAGATTGATATAAATAATATGCTGACAATTGTGACCGAGAATTAATTCTCTTGAACGTCGAAAATCTTGATGATTAAAACGGTATATATGTATGAAAAAGGATGTACTTCATATTTAAAACCATGTACCATACCACTTGTAAATACAATAGCATATAGTATTCGAAAATGTGTTGATTATCATTCTAAGTCAATTTAGAAATTTATAACAACTAATAAAACTTTACTGCTGGTCAAGAATATTATTTTGTTACTTTGTTATTATTTATTTAATGTTTACGTATACTTTAATCTTCGTACCTCCAACTTGGTAGATTTAATTTAAAAAAACTTAAACTAATTTTATTTATAAATTTATATTTCACGATTTTATATAAAATTTTTTATTCTTAACATTGCATAAATTTTTTTAGAAAAAAATACATTTATACTTTTGATAAATTAGATAAAACTTGAAAACCTTAATTAATAGGTTTAATATTAATAAACAAATCATTTTTCTATTATTAATTCTTATTAATTATTATATAAAACAACAAAATAAATAGGTTTAGGTTTCGTAGCTTAGTGGTTAAGTTTTCAACAAGATTAATAGTTTGAGTTGAGCGAGTCAAAAAATATTTAATAATTCAAAAAAGAGGTATAATTAAAATACAAAGATTTTATAAAATTTTTAAATACAAATACAAAATTAAAATAGGAATTTTTAAAAAAAATCAAAGTTGTAAAGTATAAATACTAAATATAATAGCAGTCTTGTAAAAAGTTTAATGATATATAAGTTACAACTAAGTTTTTAATAAAAATAACAAAATAGTATTAATTACAAATTAAATTTTAAATTAATAAATATTAAAGATTAGACAACTTTCTTTAACAATTACTTGTATCAACCAGCTACCAAAAGTAAGTTGAAGACTTAAGCCCAAAAGTCAATAGCAACTTAAAGTTTTTTCAATACAAACTGTTGTTAGCAAAGTTTTTAAATATAATATACTGAGATATAAGTATTTTAAATAGTTTGCAAAAGGTCAAGTTATTTGTTTTTTTTTAGGTAAACTTCTATTTGCATTTGGCATTCAAACCAAAGAAGTTTCTGAAAACAGCAAGTAAAAAGAAATCTAAAGTTTGTTTGGAAATAAAAGATTATAAAAAACTTTTAGAATAACTTTTTTTTGCTAAAAACTTACAAACTATAATATTTTCTTGCTTTTTTTTTTATAATTTTTGCCAAAAAGTAGATATTTGATTATCTCTTTAAAAAATTAGCAATATTTTTACTTTTATTTTTAGTTATAATATAATAAATAGAAAATATAACAATTACAGTCAAACCTTGATATAATCACCAGGTTGGGAAACAAACATTTGGTGATTATAAAAAAGTGTGACTATATAAAGGTCAAATTTTATATGTTTTATAATGTCTAGGTTTAAGAAATAGTGTAACTATAACAAGTTTGTGACTATATTAAGAGTAACTATAATGAGGTCTGACTGTATATATATAAAAAAAGCTAACTAATCTTATGTTAAAGAAATATATAAAAAATAAAAGAAAAAACAGCAGTAATATTCATATATAAAAAAAAACAAACAAAAAAAAAACTTTTACTCATCATTATCCATATCTTCCTCATTATCATCAGTATCTTTTTCTAAATCATCATT